CTATCGAGAAAAAGATATGTAATAACTATATTTTATAGTGCATCCTATATGATAAAATAATCATTTCACAGGTGAAAAACATGATAGGCCCTCATTCCACAGTTGGCTCATACCTAGTTCTTTAGATTCACAGAAAACACTGTGGCCGTAACTAGCTCACAAGTGACTGAGAGACTCAAGGGATTAGACGGAGCTGGCAGCCTGGCCGGCGTGGCTCAGTGGATGGAGCCCCGTCCCGGGGACTGAGGTACGGCTGCCATGGTTACCGACCACTTGTCTACAGAAGATGTTATTCTTGCTGCTGGAATCCGGCCGCTCCTCACCTATTTCTCCAAAACGATGCTTTCAGAGGCCTCTGAAAGCCCCACAGTCCACGGAGAAGAGCGTGGGCAGAGGCTGCAGACAGCGGGTGGTCTCCGTGGAAGTCCGGGCGGTGGTGGAGGGGCCCGGGTCACTCCGTGACGTTCCTGGAGGCACTGAACTCATTCTGGCCAGTCCACGCGTCACCCCTCCCGTCCTGCTCTGTGCTTCTGTGTTGTGACGATTTCCCAATAAACGTGGTTCCCTGGCCCCGACAAGTTCAGGCACCTTTGTCGTCAGACCGTCTGTGAGTCGGCAGACCCTGGTGTTTGTCTTCCGTCTCTGTGACCTCGAGATGGGCGAGGCTGGTGGGCCACTGTGCATCCTGCCGCGTGTCTGTCCTCCCCGATCGGCCCGACGCACCGGGGCTCACGTATCCGCTTCACCTCTGAAAGGGCTTCTCCGTGGCCGAGTGCTGTCTTCATTCAAGTCACTCGGGTTGTTCTGGAGCATGTGTGTCCCATGTCCGGGTCTGTCCTCCGCTCTCTCCACGCCAAGCTGCACGCTCACCCGCGCACGGCACACGCAGCAGCGTCTGCTCTGAGAACACGCTCGTGGTGCAGAGATGGGCGGGAGGGAGACGGGAGGATCGAGAGTAAGTTTATAAATGGCCCGGGACCCGCTCAGTGAGCCCGGGTTGGGGGGTGTCGACGCTGAGCGGGCACAGAGGAGCAGCAGGGCCCTGAAGGGGCACCTGTCAGACCTCAGACGTCAACAGGGACGAGGGGACGAACCCTAGAGAAGGACCTTTCTAAGGTGTGTCTGTTCTTCTCAGCCCTTCGAGTGGGGGTCCGGGTGGTCTGTAGGGTCACAGCCTGACAGGCGGCGGTTCAGTGAGTGACACCCGCGCGCAGGTCCGCCCCGTGCCCGTCTGGATGCCGAGCAGGTGGGTGAGGGTGACCGGGACGCACGACTCTCTAGTCGGTGACACCGGCCAAAACAACGCCGACGTCCTCATTGGTGCTTTCTCCCCGGTGTGTCCACCAGGCAGGGCCCCAGGCAGGGTTATTTTAGGGGGAAATGACAAACTCGGGGGCGGGGGGCTGCCCTGTCCCAGGACGCCCAGGCGGGGAGTGAAGGTGAGCCCTGCGCCCACGGAGACACTGGTCCCAGGACAGTGCGGAACTGGATGCTCGCGACACGGCATCTGGGAGGGGAGGCCGGTCTCTGTCACGCGTTTTGCTTTGAGAAATTTAATCTCCGTGGGATTTAGAAGGACCTGCCCAAATTGAGCTCAGGATCAAACCACCCGTGGCTGAATGAACTCATTGTTCCCAGACACCCTCGAGTCTCGAAAGAAACTTTAATCTTAGGAAGAGGAAGGCAAAGGAGGCGGATGCGGGGCTGAGCACTGTTCCTGGGCACACAGAGCAATTTCATGAAATGGGTCCATGAGCCGTCACCAAACGTTTGTTGCACTGAGACCCTGTCGTTACGCGCTGTGGACAGAGAACTCAGATGTTTAATCTCCGCTTCCTAGAAGTGTGGGGAGGACCACACATGCGCAGGCTACGGACATCGGGTCCTGCTGTGTCTAATGACACCGGGGTGATGGGGACAGCGGGGGACAGCCGGGGAGAGGCCACGGCTGCGAGTGAGCAGAGAGAAAGGTCAGGAATCTTTCTGAAAAGAGACAAACTTCTAGCTTAAACGTGAAGGGGAGGAATAAGAGTCGGTCCGTCATAAAAGATATTTTGGCTGGAGAAATCCAGTCTTCATGTGGAATATAAAAAAAAGACAACTTCAAAAACAGGCCAATATGCAGTCACCCTGGGTTGAATGAACTCCGTGTTCCTGGAAATCCCTGCATGTGGAGAGAAGTTGCAGTCTGGACAGGAGGGGGGCGGAGTGCGGGGCCCGCAGGCCCGCGGGTCTTAAAGAAGCAGAACCTTGTTGTGAGCTGAGGGTGTAGCCTCACCCATCACGTGTACTGAGCCCCCACGAGGGTGCTGCGCCATGGGCTGTGAACAGAGGGCTCTCTAAAGGGGGGAAAAAACAGAAGAGCCCCCAAGTTACACAGATCAGAGGACTGACATTGTGTCATGACACCCAGGGGTGTTTGGGAAACACAGAGCGAGAAACCACAAGTGTGGCCAGGACTGGGAATAAGTAGACGGGTCCGAAATGCTTCGGAGAGAAAAAGAAAGACAAAATTCTAGCTCAAGAATCAGAGGGGAATAGGCGTCGGTCAGTCACAGAAGAGAAATAGCCGTCTGAGCAGGGGAGGAAGAGGAAGTAGGTTTTGGAGATGTCCCTATGCCGGATCTTATTGCAAGAGCTCATCATCCGTCCTGGAGGAAACGGAATCATTCGTTGGGCTCATGGAGTAAATTCACAGGTGGGTGTGAGAAATCTATGATCACAGGACATGCAGCCCCTGAGATCCCTTCCCCTTCATGGTGGTGACCACCGATAACCTGCTCCCCACCTGGCGAAGATGACGGGATGCCAGTTCTGTGTCGATGCTATGTTTCCGGTTGACACAGAAAACACAAGTTGGATACATTTGAATTTCAGCTTCAATATATTTTCGTATAAATATGTTTCATGTAATATGTGGGTCACCCTTATGATATCTGGCAACTCTATTTAATTTATAAGGTAAAGACATTTTTCACAGGTCCCGGCTTACACCTTGGTTGTGATATTGCGAGATTCCGAGCAGAGATTCCAGTTAGCTTGAGCTAGACCCCTGATCGCCTAAGACTGTGATTTAACAAATGGGGGTTGTTCTTAGCGGCTCCTATTGTGGTGATTTACAACAGGCTTCCTCTACCGTTCTCCAAATTCCCTGGTCGGTGTGGGTGACTTGGAAGGGCTGGGTGTCCTATCTGCGTATCAACAGAGTGGGAGGCCAGTCATTGGGATGGATGTTAAGATGGAAAACAATATGGTGTTTCCTCAAAAAATTAAAAATGGAACTGCCATGTGACCCAGTGATCCCACTTCTAGGAATATAGCCCAAGAAGCCTGAAACACCCATCAGAAAGAATATATGCACCCCTATGTTCATAGCAGCACTATTTACAATAGCTAAGATCTGGAAACAGCCCAAGTGTCCATCAGTAGACGAATGGATAAAAAGCTGTGGTACATGTACACAATGGAGTACTATGCAGCTGTAGGAGAGAAAGATCTCTTACCCTTTGAGACGACCTGGAGGGACCTGGAGAGCATTATGCTGAGTGAAATAAGCCAGTCAGAGAAAGACAAATACCACATGATCTCACTTATCCATGGAATATAATGAACAAAATAAGCTGTTGGCCAAAATAGATCCAGAGTCGTGGAAGTAGGGAGCAGACTGACAAACCTCAGAGGGAAGGGGGTGGGAGGATTAGGAAGAGATACACTGAAGAACGTACACGCATAGACGCACAACCAGTCAGCGTGGGCATTCGGCTGGGGACGTCGCGCGGTGGGGGTGGAAGTGGGAAGGAGGGGGGTCAATGGGGAAGAAAGGAGTACATCACCTATTTAATACTTTCAATAATAAAATAAATTAAAAAAGGATAGACCCCTGGAGTGACAGGGAGAGGGGGAGAGGTACTATCAGCCATTCTCGATGCTGAAATGAAGTGTATCTAGCACCCAAAATGACGCTGGGAATGATGAGAGACTTTGAGGCATGTAGGGACTTTATCACAGAATAATTTCACAATGAATAGGGTCACCATTAGAAGCAATAAGCCCCTCGTCACAGCAAGTGTTCCAGCCTCCAGTGACTAGAAAGGGAGACTTCATGTAGCACAACGAAGAGGAACACCCTTGACCTTGGTGATGTGTCAGCTGTGTGAATTCTAGTAAGTTCCCTAACCTCTTTGGACCTCAATTTCCATATTGTAAAATATCTATTGCATTTTCAATCTCACTGTGATCAAATAGATGAAAATCTCTGAAATCTGTGGTCTCTGAAATCTGTGGTCTAAAAAACATTCAACAGTGTTACAATAAAAAATTTTTGTGTGTATGTTATTTTGGCTTGAAGTAAATGACCACCTGGAATTGATAAGAATTTACTGAGGAGTGGCCCATGGGGTAAAAATAGATCATCAGAATATGATTTTCACATGTGCTCGGATTCATAGGAACTCGATGGCATTAAATGCTGAGAGTCTCTGTGGAGAGCAGCATTGTGTTCTGGTGACATAACCTAGGAAGTAATTAGTGTGTAGGGAGCTAGTCAAGGAATTAGCCAAGCTCACCGGAATAGTTGCATTCCCAAACATAAGCTCTCCTCCCCACCACAGAGCCTTGTTCTATAAAATACATCTTTGGAATCATGTGTTCAGATAACTGGATAATTGATGGGAGCTTACCTTCCAGATTTGTAATTGGCTCAAGACAATGTCCGGGTGACAGAAAACAAACTCGGTTCCCCAGTAAAAACTGGGGACTCTATACTAATGGTCCATTTAAGGCAGAGGCTGTAGCTATGAAAATGCCAAGTCCTCTCATGATCAACTGACAGGAGGGACTTGCACATACCAGGCAGTAAATAAACATTCACCACGTGAATCACAAAACTGATGCCACGCCCTGGCCCTTCCCATCAGTATATAAAGCTTCCAGGGTCGCAGGTGACATTCAAACTTCAGAAGCATCCTCTGAACTCAACTGAAACCTCACCCTCTGCCACCATGTGCGGGAACTACTACGGGAACTACTATGGGGGCTGTGGATACGGCTCCGGCTACGGCTGTGGATACGGCTCTGGTTATGGCTGTGGATACGGCTCTGGCTATGGCTGTGGATACGGCTCTGGCTACGGCTGTGGATACGGCTCTGGTTATGGCTGTGGATACGGCTCTGGCTACGGCTGTAAATACGGCTGTGGATACGGCTCCGGTTATGGCTGTGGATACGGCTCTGGCTACGGCTGTGGCTACGGCTCTGGCTACGGCTGTGGCTGCTGTTCCTTCCGACCCTTGTGCTACAGACGATGCTATTCCACTTGCTGCTAGAACATCATCTTAGTCTAAGGCTTAGACCATCCTTGGCCTCTAACATAATATATCAAGATGAACACTTTTCCTCCTAATGATACCCCATTTTATCATCTCGACCTTCAAGCAAGGAAAGGACACCACCTGTATTTACTTCAAAGAACCTGTTTGTTTTTGAAGAATTTTGAGCATTTCCATTATGTGACCTGAAGACAGAAGACTTGATTGTGATCATGTTCAAAATGTCAATTTCAATAAACAAATTTCATTTGTTCCTTCAAGTATTTGTGTTTTTGGGGGCTGGGATCATCACTGAAATGAATGTACATGTAAACATTCTTAACAAAATATTATGAATTTGAATCTCATGATGGATAAAATGAACTATACCTCTTAACCAAGTGGGATTTGTCCCAATTATGCAAGGTTGGTTCAACCCTCAACAACTGGTGAATATAGTTCATCACATCAACATCCTTTCTGCAAAGTTAGGCAACCACTGTGTTAGCTGATCCTGAGGTTCATTACTTCTTCATCTACCACACGTGTTCATTCCTTCACCAAGGCCACGTGGTTTTGTTTACTGCCGGGTTGTAGTAAATCTTAGCATGGGGTGATGTGATTACTCCAATACTCCATTTCAAAATTATTTTGGCTAGTTTAGTTTTTCTGGTTTCTAGCTAAACATTAAAATAGCTTGTCAGTATCCATAAATATATCCTGCTGAGATTTTAATTGTGGCTGGGTTGAATATAGAACAGTTTTGGGAGAACAGACAACTCAACAATATTGAGTTTCCCAATCCCTGAACATGGGATATCTCTGCATAATTTACATCTTTGATTTCTGTGGTGGGCTTTAATGTGACGTAGCTCAAGAATGATTCTCCTTGTATTCAAAGAGGGCATTTTTTAGTGTCGGATTAAGACAAAATTTGAAAAATCAATAGACATTTAAATAACTCAATAAAAATAAATAATTATAGACAATTTTATAATCATTAAGAAACAGTTACTTGAATATCACAGGGTCTGCTGAATCCGCAATGAGAAATAGAAAACTTCAGTAAGACTATATCTACTAGGAAAAGTGAATCAATAACTAATAATATTCCAAAACAGAAACCATCAAATCAGAATGAGTTCACTGGTAAATTCTACAACACATTTAAGGAATACATTACACCACTTCTCCACAATCATCTCCAGAAGATAAAACAAAGGAATACTTACTAACTCTATGAGGGCAACATTACCTTAATACCAACACCAGGTGAAGGCATTGCAAGAAACAAAAACCACAGATGGCCCTGGCCAGTTTGGCTCAGCGGTTAGAGCGTCGGCCTGCAGTCCGGAGAGACCCGGGTTCGGTTCTCACTAAGGGCATGTACTTCGGTTGCAGTTTGTCCCCGGTCCTGGTTGGTCGTGTGGGTGGCAGCCACTCGATGTGTCCCTTCACGTCGATGTTTCTCTCTCTCTCTCTCTCCCTTCCTCTCTCTCCCTCCCACTCTATCTGTACAAAAAATGGAAGAATATCCTCGGGTGAGGATTAAAAAACAAACAAACAAACAAAAAAACCACAGATGGATAAAATGAACTATACATCTTAACCGAGTGGGATTTGTCCCAATTATGCAAGGTTGGTTCAACCCTCATCAACTGGTGAATATAGTTCATCACATCAACATCCTAAAGAAGGAACATCACAGAATCATTTCAATAGATGCAGAAAAAGCATTTGACAAAATCTAAAACTTATTCATGATAAAAATGTTCAGTAACTGAGAATAGGGAGAATCTTCCTCAATTTGATAAAAAATATCCACAAAAACCCTGATGCTGACAACACTTAGTGGTGAGAAATTAAATCTTTTCCGCTAAGACCAGGAAAAGGCAGGGATGTTCTCTTCATCTGCGGCTGTTCAACATCGTTCTGGAAATTTAGAATATCCAACTAAATCTAGAGACAAAATCTCCTGGAACTAAGAAGAGGTTGTAACAAGGTTGCAGTGTATCAGGTTAAGTACACAAAAGTCACCGCTTTTCTGCCTATCCACACGGAACGCACAGAATGTGAAATCGAAAGCATAATACCACTTATGATGGCAGCCCTCAAAATGCAATACTTGGATATAAGTCTAAAAACATATGTATTAGATCTGTATGACGAAAATGACTAAACTCCGTGAAAGAAATCAAGGAAGAACTGAAAATCTCAAAATATGTCATTTCCCATTCACGGGCAGCAAGACTCGATACTGTGAAGATGTCGGTTCTCCCTGCTAACTTCATCTACAGATTCAAAGCAAACCCAACCAACACCCTGGCAAGTTACTTTTTGATTATCGAGAAAGAGACTATACATGTTCTATGGAGAGGCCAAGACCCCAGAAACAGCCGACGCGAGACTGAGGAGAGAGTGGTTGAGGACGGACAGTCCCCAATGTCAAGTCTCGCTGTGAGGCTACGGTCATCGAGATGGGGTGGTGTTGGTGAAAAAACAAAAACTCAGATTGATCAATCAAGCTGAATAGAGAGCCCAGAATTAACTCACATGAACATGGTCAACTGATCTTGAGAAAGGAACAAAGAAAATAAAATGGAAAAAAAAAAAAGGTCTTTCAGCACAGGGTGCTGGGAGAAGGGGGCATCCACCTGTGAAAACACTGAGTCTGGGAACGGACTTCGCACCCTTCACTCAATCCACTCACAATGGATCGCAGACCTCAGCAAAATCACAGAACTTCTAGAAGATGGCGTAGGAGAATATCTCGATAATGTTGAGCTCGGCAATGGCTTGATCCGAAGCCGAAGACAAGATCTGTGAAAGAAAGAAGGATAAACTGACTGCGCTGAAATAAAAACGTTTGCTCTGTAAGAGACCGTGTCACGCGAAGGAGAAGGCAAGCTGCAAAAGGGGAGAAAATATTCGCAAACGACCTACCCCACGCGGGGCAGCGTACCCAGAGCACTCCTAAAACTCAACAATGAGAGAACAAACCACCCAGTGCAAGAACGGCCACTGACCTTGACACCTCGCTAAAGGAAGCTGCCCTGTAGCTGAGAAATAAGCTTCTGGAAATGGCACCAGCGGACCATCTGGTGGAGGGTGTTGTCAATGGGGAGGCCCTCACGGTGCGGGCAGCAGATGTACGAAGAATCTCTGTGCTTTCTGCTCAGCTTCGCTGTGAATGCAAAGCTGCTCTGAAAAGTGAAGTTTAATGTAAAAAAATCACATGGGCCCGGCTGGTGTGGCTCAGTGGTTGAGCGTCGACTCAGGCACTAAGAGTTTGTTGGTTTGATTCCCGGTCAGGGCACATGCCCAGGTTGTGGGCTCGATCCCCAGTGGGGGGCATGTAGGAGGCGGCCCATCAATGTTCTCTCTCATCCATGTTTCTTCCTTTCATCTCTACAATTAATAAAGAAAAAACATTTAAAAAATCACATACGAAGATCAGATTAAGTGTCTGAAGACGTGAAAACCAAGCTGAGTTTGACCAGCATGGGTGTGAGAACAGGATGGCGGCTCAGGTGGTAGTTCCGTGCGCGTAGGGGCCGAAGGTCCGTGCGACAGGGCCAGACAGGTCGAGGCTGCAGGCGCAGGCAGGGGCGGACCGCCTGTGTGATAGGGACCTGGGATTACGATATTTATTGGTTTATCTAGATAGTTCCTCTTGTGCTTGCGACTTCTTCATTGTTTTCTTCTTCTTTATCCTGTTTCACATCGACTGCAAACAGATTTCCAGCCGTTTCCATGTGTGTGGATGGGCCACGGAGGTGAGGAAGAGCGGCGTTTGCTCAGAGGTGATTGGAATAGTTGGGGGCATGTTCTGTGGCTGGGACTTGGACGTTTTCAAAGACGGCTCAGAGAACGAGGGGAACAGAAGAGGAGGCTAGGAGAGGGGATCCTTAGAAGTGTGTCCCTCATAACATTTTGTATTAAGGGCACTATCCCCACCCCCCACATACATTTTGAAATAATTGTTATAGAGAAGACAGATTCATATTGGTCTCCTGGCTCCAGGATCCAGAATTCGAGGAACACATTTGAAATAACAAGGAGGTAATCTTTTCAATACCTGGCCGTTTTATAAACATAATAACCAAAAATGGATTTCAGTGCCCGAAGGGGTTATCCAGCTCCGAGGGTGTCTGAGTGTGGGTGACATTACTACGTATTCTGGATGTCACGGAGAAATTAAAACACGTGGGAGCCAGATGGATCTGTCTGACCCTGAAGACTTTTTTCTACTCTAATATTAAAAAGTTGATATAATTTAAACAATGCCTTCAAGGCATAGAGTGAGGGCCACTGGAAAAGTGGAAATGTTCCCAAAAGGAATAGGAAGGAGGAGAAGGAAACACATTCTCCTAGGTTTCGGAGGTGACGCATGTGTTTTGAATTTCTGATGGAGAGACCAGTGTGGTGACCGAGGCGCGGTGATAGCAACCATGTCGGCAAAGGAAGGCCGTAGGGTGGGCAGAAGCCTGACCCAGAGAGCAGGATAGAAACATGCGGTGTGGACCACAGGCTGCCGGAGACTTCAGGGGGACGGGCGGGGAGGGATCCGCGAAGGCAGAGCTACGTGTAGGCTCTGTGCACGCAGGATCCTAAGTTACGCCGGCAACACCCAGTGGGCTTTGGAGAGACTTGGGCTGTGTAGAAACAGTGAACAGAAAGAGATCTCACAACAAAACGGAATCGTTTCAAACAAGACACTGAGAGTCCCCAACACTGAAAATATTCAAGGAGAGGTCGCCTGCCAATCTTTGGAGCTGCATTATAGTTGCATGTTAGACCTGGGAAATTTGGAAATGTGGCTGTGGTTTGGAAATGACCCCTTCCAAGCCCTGGCCTTTGTGGAGTGACGTCCAAAGTCCAGATGCTGCTGGCGTCACCGGATGGCTCTACGCCTCCCGCACAGACGTCTGAGGGGGGAGTGTGCTTTCGGCACACCCAGCGTTTTAGCGGGAGAGGTCACTGCCGAGTTGCGCGGGAGTGGGACCTGTCGCATTTGA